CTTTATGACTTGTGGACTTCAACCATACTGGCTGAGGAATTCTGGGAGTTGAAGTCCACAAGTCATAAAGGGGCCATAGTTCCCCATCTCTGTGACCCAAGTAAATACACTGTGGATTGAGTGTCAGTGTGGCTTTAGCATTCTGTGGTTTCCAGCCCTGTTGAAGCTGCTGGGTTGATCCTAATATACTTTGCTTGAAAGTGAAATGTTTAGCCATTCTAGAAGAAATGTAATTCTCATAGTTTTGGATGAAGCTCAGCTTTTATTATTCTCCAAAGCATCTGCGAGTAGGGCAAGAAGCAATGGGTGAAAACTAATTAAGGAGAGAAGCAACTGAGAACTAAGGATAGTTCCGGTTGTAACCCACCGCTGCATTGACCCTGTGGGTCTTCAGAAATGCTTCAAAAACCTGTTTTTTCAGGGGGTGGGATCCAGGTGCTGGGACTGATGGGAAATGCTGGTGAAACAGTGGAAACTAATCAAGGAGAGAAGCAACTGAGAACTGAGGAGGAATTTCCTGATGGTGAGAACAATTAATCAGTGGAACGACTTGCCTCCAGAAGTTGTGGATGCTCCAACACTGGAAGTTTTTAAGATGATGTTGGATAACCCTTTGTCTGAAGTGGTGTAGGATTTCCTGCCTAAGCAGAGGGTTGGACTAGATGACCTCCAAGGTCCCTTCCAACTCTGTTATATTCTACTCTACTCTACTCTACTCTACTCTATTCTTCATTCCAATATTCTATTCTGCTCTGCTCTACTCTTCATTCCAATATTGTATTCTATTCTATTCTATTCTACTCTTCATTCCAAAATTCTATTCTATTCTACTCTACTCTACTCTTCATTCCATTCTATTTTATATATTCTATTCTATTTTATTCTATTCTACTCTACTCTACTTGAAATTGAGGAAGTTGTCTTAAATTGAATCCAGCTGGAAATCAAATAAGTTTCTTTTGGGGAATTACAGTTCTCCAAAACTTTTAATGTTTTATTACAATTATCTTAATATAAAACAGAAATGAGGATGATAGGAAAAAGGGAAGAAAGGGGAAAGAAAGATGTAGATACAGTAGAAAAGGGGGGGAAAGATCTTTGACTTCCAACATTTTTCAGCATAGTAAAGTACAGAATGGAATTACAGCCTCAACTTTTTACTTTTACAAAAAAAAAGATTATTAGCCATTTCTATACCAGCCAGTTCTACTAATCAGCAAAATCGAGAGTTCATTTTTTTTCTGTCTCGAGTACAACGTCCAGAAGTGGTTTCCAGGTAGAAACAAAGCTGGATATGTTCTTTTCTCTAATAGGAAATGGGAATTTTTCTATTTTTGCTAGCTTCATCTTTTCCATCCATTTTTAGTGGTGTGGGATTGATCTACCTTTCCATTTCTTTGCTCTTTTTTAGTTTTTTAAATACTTCATTGAAAAGAGAGTGCCATGTCAGGGTAACATTTACAAATAAAGCAAAGCCAAAGAAAAATCAATAGCAAATCTTAACATACTTAACAAGCTAATAATTATAACAGAAATATATTTACAGTAATTATAATAATACAACCAATGGAAAAAAAGAGAAAAGAAAATGAGCTTTAACTAAATTTCTACTTACATTAGCCTATTTACAATTTTTCTGTATTATATCCATAATTCAATAGCATCTTTATTTTCCATTATAACAATTATTGACATTTGTCAACTTCCCTCTCATTTCCACCTCTTCTCTCTATCCCATTCATAAAATTTATTCCATGTCCTATAATATTTTGAGTAATTTTTAAGGTTAATCTATCCATTTCAGCACAATCCCAAAGTTTCCTATCTTTCCATTTGCGTGCATATAAAAATCTCGCTGCGGCCAACATATACAATGATAAAATTCCAAATCTTTTAGGGAGGTTTTTCAGGGGAAATCTTACCTACCGTGTTTCCCCGAAAATAAGACATGCCCTGCTAATAAGCCCAATCGGGCTTTTCAGAGCATGCGCCATAATAAGCCCCCCCCCCCAAATAAGCTATTTAAGCCCATGCGCAACCGGTCCCCGCCATTACCACTGTACCACCTACCGGTACAGCTTGTGGGGAAAAAGAGGGCTCGACGCAAAAACAGCGGCAGGCAAAGCAAAGTGCTTCCAGCTCCCGCCGTTCCCTCCCACGCAAAAACAGCGGCAGGCTAGCAATGTGATCACCCAATTGGCAATTGGCAATTTAATAAATTTATATGCCGCCCAATCCCGTAGGACTCTGGGCGGCTTACAGAAACAAAAATAAAAGTAAAAGTTAAAGAAGAGATACAATTTTTAAAAAAACACACCAAACGTTCCATTTTTGTGGGGCTGGACCTTGATTAACAGCCCCAAGCCTGCCGGAACAGCCAGGTTTTCGGAAGGCCGAGAGAGTGGGAAGGGTCCGGATCTCTACGGGTAGATCGTTCCACAGGGCTGGAGCAGCTACAGAAAAGGCTCTCCCCTGGAGGGCCGCCAGCCGGCATTGTCCGGTCGACGGCACCCAGAGAAGGTCCCTCCTACCTGTTCCTTCTCGCACAAAAAAACACCGCACACCCCAATGGTAAAGGCAGCCTGCCTGGTTCCCTTCCCAGCCGTCCCTTTAGCGAGAGGTGGCAGGTGGGGGAGGGGAGAAGCAAGGCACGCCTCTTACCTTTCCAGGTGTGTTGTATTCCTCGCCCTTTTTATCCAGTGAATCTGCTTGTAAAAAAAACCTCGTGAGTTCAACTCGCGAGGTTTTTTTTTTACAAGGCTCTTCACTGGATGAAAGGGCGTGGAACGCAAAGGACCTGGAAAGGTAAGAGGCGCGCCTCGCTTCCCCCCCCCCGTACCTGCCACCCCTCGCTAAAGGGATGGCGGGGAAGGGAACCAGGCAGGCTGCCTTTACCATTGGGGCGAGATGGGCGGTTCCACCACAAAATCCCGTTCGACTAAAGTGCGCTTGACGAAACCGCGTAGCTGACGTCATCACAGGGCGACAACAGCGCGGAGACAGAAGCACGCTGTAAACGCTAAACTTAAAATTAACACCTAAACCTAACCCCCCCTAAACCTAATCCTAAACCTAACCCTAACCCTAACCCTAAACCTAACCCTTAACCTAACCCTTAACCTAATCCTAACCCTTAACCTAACCCTTACCCTAAACCTAACCCTTAACCTAACCCTTAACCTAATCCTAACCCTTAACCTAACCCTTACCCTAAACCTAACCCTTAACCT